ACAGCTTGAACCTAACCCGACAAAAATGGAAGAAAAAAAAATGATGATAATAAAATGGCTTCAAGATGACATCATCGTCCATCTTTCCTATTTTTTGACAAACAACTAGCATTCTTAATCATTCGCAATACATTAGTGAAAATTCTGGTCTGTTCTGAAATTTTTCATGGTTACAGTGTGCGCATTCTCTCTTTCTGGCGTTTGATTTTTTTTGCTCATGAATAGCCCAAGTTCTACTTCACGCCTCAATTACATTCATTTCCAGGAATCATCTATTTGATTTTGGGGCTGTGAAACTGGTTGCTCTAAGCTCGCTCGTAAAAATGATGATGCATAATTGTGATGTGTTTTCCTTTTATCTTTTATCGAGGGCTGATTCTGTGGATCTTCTGTTATTCAGTTAGTTTCCTCCATACAGGCAGTTCATACAAGATAGAGCAAATGATCAATTTATCATATCTCAGGGCATTGAAATTTTTACTATTGCCCTCATATTTATTGTGTGTGGCCTTTAATCTTGTGGGTTGCGTTTATTGAAAGTTGGCCTCATAAGTTAACAAAAATGATTATTATAATGGTAGATGCAATGCGTTTTGTCTTTTTAATGCTCGAATTTATACTTTTAGAATTTAATCATTGAGTTATTTCTCATTTTACCCATGCATTAGATGATTGTTGCCAGCTATTGAAGCATGGTGTTTCTTTTGTATAGCTTTACTTTTTTCCAAAGCTTTCCCTCTATGTGGTTTTACCTTATTATATATTGTATGGTAAGATGAGATGGCAGCTGTTGTGAGGCTTCAAATCTTTGTTTCTGATTTTATGGTCAGGGAGATTTAGTTTTTATTCTATATGGTAGGAGATTTTCTACCAGCTCTTGATGGATCTTCTTTTTGAATTATGTTTATAGTATGTGGATGTTCTAGACTGTGTTTGTGCTGCTCACAGCTGTATTTCTAATGCTTATTGATTGGGCATTGCTTCATTACGACTATTTGGGAATTTGTGCTGAAACTGCCAATAGGTAGGCCAACCTCAGGAGATCTCATTGACTTGTTGAAATTAGCAATGGTATTGGGGTGCAATTGATTGTGTGGTGCAGTTGCTTTGAAACATCACTCTGATGTTTACTGACAATGTAATGTGTAACCACCCGGCTTTATTTGCAAATGAATGTTTAAGGTTGCATATTACAAAAATGTTTTTTGGTAGCATTTTTGCAGGCACACAAGTAGACTGGCACATGAGCATGCCATTTCCTTAGTTTGATTCTAGATAAGGACTTGACGAATGAATTTTTGATACAGAATGTATTTTAAGTACTGGGGGGTAGGATATCTTCGAGTTCGTATCGTACTTGGACAGTTACAATGTTGCAGATTTAATGCTCCATACTTCTCCGTGTGACTGCCATGGGGTGAGCTCGGAGAAGTTTAAGGTTTTTTATCCCATTTTTTTGTGAGTTTGTCTGAGTATCCAGGAATAATTTGGTATAAAGTGTCTCTAACATATACCTGCTGTGCCACATGACAAGAGAAAAGAGTGCCACATAGCTAGCATTTGATTAAATTGTTATCAGGAGTTAAGACTCACACCATGAGTAAGGTGTGCTGAAAGTTCCAAGGTTCCCATAATGATGTTGTAGTCTTCGTAAGAATGCCTATCTGCGAGCCAAGTTCTAGATTCTTGCTTTCTTTGGTGAACATCCCGTCTTCATTTTCTAGCAAAGGGCCAAGAGGTGCAGTTGTCCTAAGGTCATGTCTGAGGTTCTTGGCAAGGCAAATGTCTGAAAGGCTTATTTGGGGCTGTCGACTGGCACCCTTTTAGGAATGAAGGTGGCAGAAAAAGTTGGGGTGTGAGGTGGTGGGGTTTCCCTTGTAGGATGGCTTGTCTTACCTGTGAGAGGTCCTCCATCAGTGTAAATATTTACATTCTTATTAAGCTTCTCACCGTTTTGCACCTCATTTAAAAAGCTGCAGAATTGGGCTGTATACCAATACGAAGACATGTAGAAACCCATATAAAGTTTACAGAATGCTTTTTTGGACACATTGAAAGTCAAAATTGTTCTCTCACTTTCGAAAGGAAGTTGTACATACTATTGCTTACACTCTCAGATATTACCTTGACTCCACGATAGGAACCATTTGCAGGTCAATGTATGCCCAGTGGAGTGAGGTTTATTTCTTCTCAAGCAGTTGGTGGACACATTGGACAGATGACCTTGACATCAACAGGTTTTGCATGGAATGAATAGCTCATTTTTAGTGGTAACAAACTCAAACTTTATATCAACTCAATAATCTGATTCGAATTTTCATTTTAAAACTCTTATGATAGTAAGTTATCTATTCAGATCCTTTGGCCGCTGTTTGAAAAATGGAAAATGGACCAAATATTAATGCTTCTACAGTGGATAGTTCTGTAATGAATTCTCTCGGTCAAAGAAAACAAGCTGGGAGCATTCATGACATTATGAATCGACGTCTCAAGAATCGAGAACGGCAACGTAGATACAGGGCTAGAAAGCGCCGTGAAGCTGATATAAAGAAGGCAGGTATTGGTTCACAATCAACTCCATTGCAAGTGGAAATACAGGTGAATAGCACTTCTCATGATGGCGTGACGCGAATTCATTGTCAAAGAGATTGGAAAAAAGATGCCAGAAGGGCCCATGTTGTCCATGAACAAGAAATCAAGTCCAGTGACCCTGCAAGTCTTGAACCAACATCAGTTAGTGGAAGTGAAGCACCCTTCTTGCCATCCAGATTTGGGGCAGACCCTCCATCAAGTAGTGAAACACCTAGGACTACACTCAGCAAAAGACATTGGAAGGCGGAAGCGAGAAATAAAAAAAGCTAAAGAAGGTATTGTTGAGTTGCTTACTGGTGTGGAAGTTAATGTCCTACTGCTTAATTTCCAGTTAACACAACTATTTCAGTAGGAATACATCTGAAGATGTGTGGTGAATCATTTTACTTTTGGGTTTGTCAGCAATGGTTCTTATTTTTAATTTTGGTATAGAATTTTCGATTTTGTAAATGCAGACACTTCAAAAAATCAATCGACAAACCCCCTTGTTAGCAGTTTGGTTGTGCATTTTCTATCAAGAGGCTGGGTAGCATTTGAAGACAATTCAATGCTTATAGCTTGAAATCTCAGGCCTAAATTACAGTTGATAGTGTCTATGTTACTGCAGGAATGCACACATCAAGTATGTTAATCTATTGGCCTTTTTTAAAAGACAAAAATCATTTTGACGTGTCTTTTATACCCATGACTGCAATGCAATCACCTGCTAACTATATGAATAGGCTAAATAAGAATTGTCTGTGACCAGTGAGACTTTTTTTTTAACTATTGGAAAAGAGGAGAGGGGCGACCAGTAGGTAGTAATCCACCCTGGGTGTGACCACGAGAGTCCCTCCTACCGTGAAATGTCTAGTTGAGTTATTTTTACTAATCCGAAAGAATAGTCTGTCACTATAGTACCACCAAAGTCAAGCATTAAATTGGATTGTTCCCGTGAATTGAACTCTACTTGATAATTATATGAGAGTTAATAACAATCTTAAACGAGTACGATTTATCACTAGACCACCAACTTGAGTGATAACCGGTGGGACTTGAATCTTGTATTTTTTCTTTGCTTAGTGCTCTACACCAGGAATAAGGCAACTCTGATGGCTGTTGCAGTTTGAAGCGCTCCAGTTAAAATTCAGATTGAATTGAACACAAACTAAAAGTATCATATTTTGGGTAGAGCCAGGCTCTTGACCCGTTCAACCTACCAACTTACACACCTATAAATCAATCACGATATGTTGAACGACAAGATTTTATGAAATTTCTACGTTGAGATCCTAAGATCGAGTCTTGTGAGAGAATTCTAGTTCAACCAACGCACGTGATTTGTGATTAATTCTACACTTTCAACATTCGTATTAGAATTATGAGTTCAAAAAATATATGATTATGGTGAAAAATAGATCAAAATCTTAGATATCTGCAATCCACGTTATAGACTCTGCACTCATTGATCAAGCTTCAAACAATACATATGCAATTTATTTGGACTCATGACCATAAGACAAAGGAAAAGCAAAAGCTAATGGAAAAAATTATACAAACATTCCAAACGTTAGTAGATAAAAAAGGAGAGAAAAATTATAGCAATAAAATGCTTCTAATTCTCTCTCCTCTTCCCCTCCTCCTCATTATCCCTGCACTCTCTGTCTCAGATCCTCAAAGCTCCAGTCCCTTCTCATCCCACAGCTCCTCACCAATTTTGGTGCACCACTCTCAAACTCGACAGGTCCGCTGCTATGAATCCTATGAGTCGCCTTCTTGAACTTCTCGTAAGGCCGTGGTGGCGCCAAGTTTCCCGACCAGCTCCTCTCAACCCTCCCCAAACACAGGCTCAAATTTGGCTTCTCATGATCAAATATTCCCTCTCTGAGTTCCTTCTTTGAGTCGGTCCTTCGCATGCTCTGGCAGGTCAAGCAGTTGAGACTCATGGTGATGATGGAGAGAGAGTTTTACGTGACAAAGGGGTTAATGGCCGTTGGGCTGGTTGAGAGAAGAGGTCTGGAGGAAACCTGGAAAGAGAGAGAGAAGAGGGGGGGGGGGGGGGTAGTTTGTCTGCATGCTATTTTAGGTGGACAAAGAAATGAAAGTAAAGATTGGGATTGGGATTTACAGATGTTTTTGGTGGTGAGAGAGATTGGTTTGGTGTAAATCTTCCATTTTTCTTGGAGAAACAAGCTCTCTGGTTAACAACAACCATTCCTTGGGGTTTCTGTTGGAGATTAGATCCGAAAATACAGCTGAGCCAATACTAATTTGGTAATAAGTTTGCTAAATTGATCTGGATTAGTGGGTTTAATTGGTTTTACTAATCATCTAATCTAATTACTATGGTTGTGACATGTTAATTGATATTTCTTAAAGGTGACAAAAGTTGCAAAATAAAGGTAGTTGAATGGGGTTTATTTTTCTGCACGGTGAAAGTGGTTATTGCTGGAAGGCTTTTGGTGAAAGAGGATTGTGGGACTTCATATAATCTAATGACTATGGTTGGGATGATTTCTATTACCACAGCAGATACTCACCTTTATATACAATAGCAATGCATGATTTGCGTTGCACGAAAACAATTATTTTGAGTACTTAATCTGTTATTTTTTTTTTAAAAAAATTATTTTGTTAAATAAATTGATTAGATCGCTTATAATATTATTAAATTATTGCATACTAATTTGACCGTAGAATTCAATCTTGTAATGACATGTGTATAATAATTTAATATATTTAGGACTTTACATCTTCATATAGATATATATAAAATTATACACTAATAAATGAATTCCAAAGAATTTAGAAATTCTTATAAAATAAATTAAAACAAATAAAAAGCTAAATAGGAGTAAAAAATAAAAATTAAATGAATGTATTTCTAATATGCCACAATGCGCCTCTTTCTTACTCGGGGTCAAATTTCTTATTTGTGTACTGAGTTTAAGAGATGACGATGCAATTTCAAATGTACAATTCAAAAGGATCAAAAAAAAAAAACTCTGAATCAAAGAACTATATTTAGTTATATAACATCATAGCATCTCTGATTTGTTTTCAATCGAAAAATCAAGCTACGTGATCCAATTTTACTTGACTATGCCCGTGCTCGTCCAACGAGGGAATTTGCCAAGACACAGTTTGTGATGGAAATGTTTAACTATACATTTAATCTGCTTGCCATCTATGCATTTCACAGGCAGATGTGAATTGAAAGCTAAGACAGTCGTGAATTTTATGGATTCAATTCATCTGAAGTTACATTGCACCTGCCCTGTGTTTTAGTTTCTGCTTGCGCTCCTTCATGAACATAAGCACAGGAGCTCCAAACTAAAGAAAGGAAAAAAGTTTGGGGTGGACCCCAAAAACAAAAAAAAAGTTGTTAAAGACTAAAAGTTGATTGTTTTCATACTCATAATGGTGGGTTTGAGACTATTTTCAGCCAAATTTGTTTTCGTTATCATTTCGCCACCACCAGTTTCATCAACCTGTCACCCTTTTATATGATTAAAAAAACTTTTCCGTGTTGCACACTTATATCTCACAAGAAATGACAAATTAGAGATTATGAAAGTGCATGAATAAAAGATATAGATGGATTCAAACAGATTACAATGTCTTTATCCCATGAACATAACTTGAAATTTGTTGATCGAATTATACTATTCTCAATATTAGATGGTGCTCATGGAGTTCATTTCCAATACGATGACAACAATGATGGATTTTAGGACAATAATTTAGGTAAAATCACGAGGTTTAGATATTGCCTAAAATAAGGAATATTAGGTATAATATGGGAAATTATACGGAATTCATCAATTACAAAAAGGTTACTGCACTTTTGTGAAAAGAGGCAAAAAATGAAATTACCTAAGTGATGACTAGGTCATTTGGAAAAAGAGAGTTTCTGAACTTGATCTCCCAGTCTTTTCTTCCTGTAAAACGAGCAAACTGCTCAGGATCAAAGTGTTTCAATCGAAGGCACTCCGATGCTTAAGTCAGTAATGAAATTGAATGAATTGCAAATAGAACAAAAAGAATTCAGTGCACTTTTTACCTTGGCTCCTTTTGCTTTTTATAAACCCTGTTTAGTCAGGGTTTCCATAAATTTCGATTCAAGGTGGCACACCTTCCTCTAATTAAGCGATTCAGTTTGGAAAGTTGCTGAAATCTCTTTGGCAGTTCCTTTGGCCTATAATTAAGCTCATTAGCTTATCTTGAACGCCTAAATTTTTGACGAATCTTTATTTTTTTATTTACTATTTCAAAACGGCTCGGTCATAACGAGGACCGAGCTCTTTCGTTACTCACCGAACACCTTGAACAGCACGGTTTGGTAAAAGCCGAGTTCTTTCACTGCTAGCCAAACATATTAATCAGTTCGGCTAGACCTGTTTGACTGATATTATCCTCACATGCCTTGTCTTGTCATCCTCACATAGACTCATTTAATGTCATAACACGTGTAATAATGAGAGTCACCTACTTCAGAAAAGGTTACCACATTTTTGTGAAAAGAGGGAGCACTTACACAACTTTGGTTATCACATGTGAGCGTGCCACCAATCACGACTTGACCCGAGCAGGATGGGCTTGGGCCAAAAAAAATTATCTTTTGAGCGGAAAAAAAATATATAATAATAAAGAATCTAGCATAAACTAAAGCTCTGCAACACAGGGCAGTGGTTGTGAAAAGCAAAGGCCATCAATCCCCAGTTAGAATAGTAGTTTTAAGGTGGTGGGGTAGAGGAAATAAAACAATTCCTAGTGGACAGTTGATTATATAAAGCAAATCTATCTAAATGAATTCCATCTAATTTGAGCAAAATAAGAAAGAACTTCTTTTAGCCCCTCTCAAGAATTACTACATTCTGGGATTCAAAAATTATACTTACATATGAAATTTAAAATGATCAACATGTTGGTACATTGTGAGAATAAGCATATTCTCTTGAGCAAGTAACTGTCTATTTGATGGAAGAGAAGGGTTGCCACAGAAGAATCGAGAAATCCGAGAATCAAACTCGGATCTTAAGACCTTTTATGAGACTCGAATGGCTAACCTCGATGATGAGAAGAGAATCAAGAGGCAGACAGCCCGGGCTAAGGTCATGGCGTTATTATTTGGTACTTTTTTTGTTTGCATATGCTGCAAGGTCATGGTCTAATTGAAGACATGAAGTACAGGATAATTGATCGTGGATTTCATATGGTCCAATTTTCACATAAACTCTCAGGAAAACCATGTGGGCTTTAATGTCTACCTCCAGAATTATGGATCTTGTCTCTCCATATTTGTTTAATCAGAAGTCTACTTCAAGAAACAATGTGTCTGATTAAAAAAAAAAAAAGATATGATAGCTTATGTTTAATGAATTTCGTTCTTCAAATGGTTTAAATCAATCAAGAACACTAATTGACAGACAATACAGGTACATAAAACATATGCAGATCATAGATACATAACAAGCAGCATATGATCTTCAGTTGACATGGCTAAGAACCCGATAAGTTCACCAGGTTCTATGCTTCTATACACGAGAGGTATACACGACTAGACACGAACTAGACAGAAGATCAACACGAAAAATAATATCAAAGCCGTGTTCACCTGGCTTTCAATCTAGATTGGCCTCAACCTCGGGGATATACTAAAAACTACTAAAGGACCGAGCAGGGAGGAAGTATTGTACAGAGTTTTAACTTCTGGGAGCCTCAAAATTTCCCAGTCTTAAAACACAATTGACAAAGCAATCTAGTCTTTGAAGCTTATTGTAAAGTGCAAGCCCCCTATCCCAATGCTTATCATGTTTCGGAAACTCTGGATGATAAGGCTATCTTAAGCTGTTCTTGCGTGTAAATCCGGCTCCCCATCTTCACCGTGGCTTGCTGAATCATCAATTCGTTCACTACAGAAACACTGGCATGGTGCACATCTAGGTCTAGCTCCTTAAGGGCTGTCATTAGCCTTGCTGCCGGGTGGTTCTTTTTACTACATTGGATTCGAATCATGGCGTCCCACCCAATTATCCTCACATCTATATCCACATCTACCCTATTGCTTCCATGATGATTCGACATTTTCAAATCCTGATCTGGTGGAGGTGGAGCTGAATACCGCGATTCTTTGCTAGACAATTCCTTCTTCAATGACTCCACTAGATTCCTCAAGTCATCTTTATCTGATTCCGTACTTTGAAGTTTCGATTTCAGCTCATTGATATGGGCAATAGCATCACCAAGAAGTGAAGCCTTGTCCATTTTCGACACGTTCGGAACCACAGCTCGGAGGGCATAGAACCTCTGATTAAGCTTCTCTCTCCTCTGCCTCTCTGCCTCAACATGATTCAATGGCTCTTCTCTCCCATTGGCAGGCTTCCTTCCCCTCTTTCTCGGTCGCTTTTCAGTGTCCACCACTCTACTACTATCAACCTCTTTCACCACCGAAGCCTCAAGATCGGACTGATCTGACTCTCCACCACCAACACCACCACTCGACTTCACGGTACCCGAAGAAGGCAAAATCACACCCGAAGTAAAGGAAAGCATACCCTCTTCATTACTCCCCTCGAGGTGGGAGATCTCTTCTTTTTGTTCTCCTCTGCAGCCCCAAATTGCAATTGACCCGAAAACAAATTTCCATTTCCATTACTTGAACTTCTCTTCCTCTCCCCAAAATTCAATATCTCCCCCGATTCGGGCTTGCACGAAAGTGAATTCACATTTCTAATGCTATTTCCATCAAACCCAGATTCAAAGAAATTCAATTCCCTGGTGAAAAACCCCTGTGCTTGGCTTTGGTGCTGTGGAGGGTGACTGTGAACATGAATTGAACTAGGAGTTTCAGTCAACGTACTCGAACTAGGATTTTCAAACACTGTTTGCTTGGACACTAACAGATTACTCGAAGGAATTGAATTCGCCGGAGCAGTATCAATAGACTCCTTAGCCGGCGGCGAAGGATCGGTAAGCCAAAGCGCCGACGGATCATTCTCGCCATGATCAGTCGGCAAAGCCCACGAGCCTGACCCTGAGCCAGATCCCGAGCCCATCTCTATACTCTTGTAATTGAACAAAACCCTAACCTTATTCATAAGATCCGAGCTCTGAAACTTCAATTCAGTTGAACCCAGCTCCACCACACCATTTGAGCATGGTATACAGACCAAGGTTTGTAAGCCAAACCCTTGAGCTTGACGGGCTCGCTCGCAGTTAGACGTCGCGAGTCTTTCCGCTCCGGCGACCCAAACCGGAGCCGAATTGAAGCAGGCCTGGCCTGGAAGTCCATTTCCATTAACGAACGACTGAGTCATCGAAACCAAGAAAAACCACTCCGTGTCTGTCACTTCTTCATCGACGGCTTCGTCAGGGGAGGCTTGTTGACCGGAAATAAGAGAATTGAGCTCACGGAGGACCTTTTTCCGATGCTCTTGTTCAGCAGCCGAGGTTACAGACGACGCCGTTTTGCGCTTTCCTTTATCTTCTTCCCCTTTGTAGTATCCGTCACCCCACCCTAACAACGATGGACCCGCGTAATCACCGGCCGAAGCTTGCCAGAATATAGCGTAGGTCCAGCTCTCTCGAGAGCCATCAATTAGGGCTTGAAGGCGCTGTTGAAGGGACTCTTGGTTGAAGAAAGGAGCGGACGGTTGAGATTGGATCAAACTCTTTGTCGGGTCAATTGTATTCGTTGTTGTTGAAGCTGCAGAAGATTGTGGCGGTGCTGGTAGCAGTGACGGTGGGGGCGGCCAAAACGGCGACAGATCGGAAGACATAAAAGCTTCCATCATTGAAGTATTATCGTCGGTGGTCGCCCAAAGATTCATAGTCGTCGGTGGTAGCCGGAAGTCCGTCATTCCATCGAGCGGTAACTGGTTGTCCAGGTTGTTCTACAGAGGTAAAAACAGAGTTAATTGGTTTGACGAGTATGAGAAAGGTTTAGGAGTTAAAGGTTTGGTGGGTAAAGCTTTTTTCCGGCGGAGGGAGAGAGAGTTGTGGCGGGGAGAGAAGATAGGAGAGGAGAGAAAGAGTGGAGTGAATTTGGGGTGAATTTGGAGTGGATTTGAGCTAAATTTTTGTTGGGGGTGGGGTGTAGAGTGAGAGAGACAAATGTGGCGGGTGGGTTCCACGAAGGAAGCCACGGCCGATTTAATCGCGGAGTCTATGAAAGCCGGCGCTGCTTAGCTACGTAGTACCTAATCAGAGTTTCAAACAACGAGCTTAGGTTTCTATTTAGCTTATGTTTGTGGCGGCCGTGAGGCACGTGCTCCGGTTTGGTCAGTTGTTTTGTAGTAACATGTGGTATCACAGATTAGCTGCAATATTGGGCAGAATAGATAATTCCTTTGTACTATTTTTTATTTTTTATTTTATTTATTTATAATTTATGATTATAGATAATTCACATGATGAAGAAATAATTTTTGAATAAATTTAAGTAGTTAAATTACTTTAAGCGATACCACTGAGCAGTTGGTTTAGTAGGTAAGATCTTGAATTTTTTCGCTCAATTTTTGCGTCCGAATCTCTACAACTACGATAGTTTCATGTTGTAAAACTTTAGTTTCATTCCCGACATAGGTGCAATGGGGTCTTTCGCATATAATTGTGTAATGCTGGGGAATAATAATCTCAAGCGAGTATATAGAGTGACCTATGTATTTACATATTTATTTCGTGTTCTGAAAAATAAAATAAAATGCTTTTAGAGATATCGGTACAATTTATTCATACCGAGTATATCCCTTCTCTCTTTCTTTTTTTCTCTCTCTCCTTTCTTTTTTTTGTTTGTGGAATGTTTTTTTTTTCGGTAAATTTGTTCGTGGAATGTTAAGTGTTACAAATATTGCATGAAATAATCAAATTATTGCTGTTAATGTATTGCTACAGCATCAACCGGTAAATTAGTTCTCCTAAGGGCAAGGAAGGTCAAATGAATGGGTGTTAATCGAGCAGGGTCTTGCAGGTTCGTTTTTTTAAACGAGGCTAAAAATTTATTCATATTCAGCTCGTTTAAAATACGAATCGAACTCGAACTGAATTTTATTTAAACCGAACCCGAATAACTCGTCTCGATTAACACTCTAATCAAATGATATAAGGACCATTGCACAATATTAAATGCATATTCAAGTCTCATCCCCTTTTTCCTAATAGAAAAAAGTTGTGGTATATTTTTCTTTATGGAAAACAAAATCTTAGTCGACAATAAATCTATTTGTTGGCACCAACCAATTTCAATCGGCGATTTTGCATAATGTACTATGCTAAAAAGAAAGAAATAGTAGTAATTTTTTGATACAAAATGCTTAATCATTATTATGAAATTATAATATTTGCTTTTGTGAATGTATATTACGTAAAGAAACAAACTTATAACCGCGAGTATAAAAATAATAGTAAAGGTGTTAATTGAGACGAAATACTCTAATTCCGTTCGGATAGGACTCAACTCGTATTTTAAACGAGTTGAGTTTGAATAATTTTTTAAGTAAGTTCGACTCATCTCGAGTTTGGCCCCGGGCTCGGGCTCAATTAATTTTCCAAACAAGTCGAGATTAAATAATTTTTTAGGCTCGTTTAAAAAAAATAAACTCAACAAGCTCGAGCTTAACTCATTTTCTAAATAAGTCGAGCTGAAATAATTTTTTGAACTCATTTCGACAGACTCGAATTCAAACCCGTAAAATTCAGCTCAATTAGCATCCTTACATAATAGCATAATTATCAATCTTAAGATATAAGAACAATTATTTATAACTATGGTAATATTAATGCTTCCAAATACTCCTACATAAGTAAGTACAATGTCTACATTTAATCATTACTCACATATCTTTATGCCATAGTAAATTCCATTTAAATCCACAATAAGTAAATCATATAGATCTTTGACATTTAATATGAAGAAAATATTCTTCAATACAAAATATACCATTCTTAAAGTAGATGTCTTCTTTTATGGAGATATCGAGATTTTAAAATTTGTACTTTCACCCTTCTATAAATAATTAACCTTGATAGGTAATTTAGTTAATGAATTATTTTATTAACTATGCCATAAATCTCAATTTTGATCCTTTATTTAGTTCGCTTAAGAGAATATTCTTATTTTACTTCGACGAACCTAGATAGTATACGAGTTATTTTTCAAAATAAATAGTTCGAGTGTTACCTCAAACTCTTCAATGGTATAAATAAAAAAATGAAGTTCTTAGAAATCAATCATTTAAAAGAAAAAATACGACTTAAATGTATTTCTATGTGCAAAAGGAATAAATTAGCTATGAAAAACACTAAAAAGTATATTAATTGATACAAAATTGTGTGAGAAAAGAAAAGGTAAATTTTAACATTATTTTTTATGATACCAAGACTAAAATCAACATAGAAAATAGATATACATAATAAGTAAGGAAAGTGACTAACATAAATGACAAAATAATTGATCTACTGACAAAGATTTTAGGTTAGTTTAAACCTTAAATCTGCTCGATTGCGATTGGAACCAACTCAACCATTTCTAAACAACCTCGACTTATTTGAAGCAACTTAGACAACTCAAGCTAAAATCAGAGAAAGGACAAAAGGGAATTGCAGTGTTAGACTTTGTCTAGGGGTAAATTACTAATGTCACGTTGCAAACTTCTAAAATATTACGTCACACTTAAAGGAATATAATCTCTAATGATCAAATCTTTTTTCCAAAATTCCAACAAACCGAAGGACCACTCACATCATTGTTTTGAGGACCATTCTCCCTTGGGGTATAAATAGGTAAATCATTGCCTTGCAAAAAAAGACAATTTTTACATACAAAAAAGGTTGTAATTACTATTTTCTCCTCTAAGTAATACAAATCCTAAAAACGAAAGGCTCCGTTAAAATAGACTAGTCAAGTTCTTTAACAGATGAACAACTTCATCCCTCAATTCTTCTTATTATTTCATGTTCACACTCACACACAAACCTCCATAGGTTTTACAGAGGAATCCTTCGACCCTCACATCTTATACTTCCCGATTCTTAAAACCATCAATTTTCATTGATTATTAATAATTATAAGTACCTAGATGCCCAAGGTCTAAAAGGGTTAGAATAACACATAATTAGACGTAATAACGTTAACTTAAAATACACATAAATGCTCAAAAATCAATTTTATTCAAGGTTCTTTGTCAAGATTTAAAAATAAAACATCGAAATAGTAATAGTTAAGACTTAAAAGAGTCTTACACCTATGCTACCTAACGGGATTAGAGGGTTAGTATCGAGATAGTAATAGTTAAGAGATCTGTGCTACCTAACTGGAATAAAATAAAGGGAGGGGGTTAGTTGTATAATTAAAAAAAAATACCCCTACTTGTCAGGAGATTTCATATCTCCATTATTATATATTTTTTATTATAAATTACTTGATGTGTACAGACAAGAAATCCTTTACATTCTTACTAATTTATGTTCAAGGTAAGAGTATCTTTAATTCTTACCAAAACTTCTTTTTACTCGAAGTGTGGGAGTTCTCGGCTGTGGTCGATCAATAGGTCCATTTTGACTTTTTTTTCCGCAAACATATACTAAAATCAACTTTTACTCCTTTAATGGGTGTGTTAAATTGGGGACTCAACTATTGTATCAAAAAAAAATTTGGTACCATATTGATAAATTTTATTATTTTAATGAGTGTTTTTATAATTTTTGTGGGTCATTTTATAATTAAAAATTATTATTTTTATATGTGTTTTTACCACTGTTGTAATAATTATTTTTCCTATTTTTTTTATATTATAACAGTAATAAAAATATTTACAAAAATGATAAATATTAGTATAGCATTGAATTTTTTTGGGTACCGTAGACAACTCCTTAAGTTCCAGGTATGAGTATGTCTTTAATCCTTACTCAAAAGTTAATTTGAGTAAACATGTACCGAAAACAATCTTCGGTCCTTTACTCAAATTTAAATTAAATGAAGAGAGATTAAAATTTTTACTCAAAAATGATTAGATTTTATTTTTTAAAAATATTCAATTGCCATATTCTACCTTCTTTTAAATTTGAATTTATTTATATTTGAATTTGAATTTGAATTTATTCTTTTTTAAATTTAAGTTTTTTCATTAAAATATTTTATATCAAATCAAAATTTTCTCTCAAATGTTAACTAAAATTTGAGTAAACCTTAAAAATGACCTAACTAAGAGTGTTCAATTCAATGACTCAAATTCATGTTATGGATATTCAGATTTTCTTCAATATCTAAAAAAAAGTGTAGTAATAAATTATCTATTATTAATGGATTTGAGACTCATTTGCATACAATAACTTTTATTTAAATAAATTAGTAAGTTTTGAACTCAAATGTCAGCTTTAGGCTTGTCAATTATGTTGGATAAAACATATTTTTATCGTATCTCAACAAGTTTGTATTAAAATACACTTCACTCATACCTAATTTATTTATTAATTCATGTCATATAAAATTCGTGTTATATATAATTTATATATAAATAAGTTGTATTATATATGTTTTTTGATTAAATTAATTCATTTATTAATCATGTCGTATCAAGTCTATTAATTTATAAAACATATAATAAAAATTTAAATTTTTTAATTCCATGTCGTACAAACAAATCGCGTCGACACTGGTCCACATCATAATAGCCGGAATTAATTATGCTCTACGTAATTAGTTTGAGCTTCGAAGAAACAGCCGCCACTGGTGAAAGCAAATACTCGCGCGGCTGCATGTTCAAATAATCGCCAACCCATGTAATTCATTGAGTCAAAGCACTTCAGTTTAACCCCAGTTAATATCTTCTTACATAATAATGATAAAGAACCGATTAGAATGTAAATTATAATAATAATAAAAAAAACAATTTTTATATTATATTCTTATATCTCGTCCGATTTGGTCCGCGTCGGCGTCACGAGAGCTTATCCTGACCCTTGATTGGGTCGTCGCTACGCCGTGTGATTCACCTAATAAAATAAAACACATAATCATTTTAGTATATATTGAGCCACGTTTTGCCTGATGCGTAGTT